AAAGCCATGGACTTTTGGGTATTGATTTTATAGCTTGCAACTTTCTATACAAGTCTATTGTTTCTAGGAGTTTCTTGGTGGAGGTTATAGGGTTCTCTTAGTATCATATCATCTGCGAATAGTGAGAGCTTGATTTCTTCCTTTCCTACCTGAATGCCCTTAATGTCTTTTTCTTGCTTAATTGCTACTGCAAGTACTTCCAGTACTATATTGAACAGCAGTGGAGAGAGTGGGCATCCTTGCCTCGTCCCTGATCTTAGAGGGAAGTCTCTGTTTTTCCCCATTGAGTACGATGCTTGCTGTAGGCTTGTGGTAGATGGCTTTAATTATGTTGAGGAAATTCCCCTCTATATCCATTTTGGCTAGGGTTTTCATCATAAAGGGGTGCTGGATTTTGTTAAATGCTTTCTCTGCATCTATTGATATGATCATATGGTTTTTATCTTTTGTTGATATGATGGATTATGTTGATTGATTTCCGAACATTAAACCATCCTTGCATCCCTGGGATGAATCCTACTTAGTCATGGTGTATGATCTTTTTGATGAGTAGTTGGATTCTGTTTGCTAGTAGTTTGTTGAGGATCTTTGCATCTGTGTTCATCAGGGATATCGGTCTGTAATTCTCTTTGTGGTATCTGTCTGCTTTTGGTATCAGGGTAATATTTGCTTTGTAGAAACTCTTCGGAAGTGTTTTTGATATTTCGATTTCGTGAAAAAGCTTAAAGAGGATTGGGAGTAAGTCCTCTTTAAAGATTTGGAAGAATTCACTAGTGAATCCATCCGGGCCAGGACTTTTGTGCTTGGGGAGACTTTTTATTACCATTTCAATTTCCTTGATGGTGATAGGTCTGTTCAGGTATTCCAGGTCTTCTTGGTTCAGCCTTGGGAGTCCTTAGGAGTCTAGAAATTTATCCATTTCCTCGAGGTTTTGATGTTCCATGGCATAAAGCTTCTCAAAGTACTCCCTGAGGATCCTTTGAATTTCTGTAGTTTCTGTTGTAATGACCCCCTTTTCATTTCTGATTCGGTTTATTAAGGTTTTCTCTCTCCCTTTCTTTGTGAGTTTTGCTACAGGCTTAATGATCTTGTTAATTTTCTTGAAGAACCAGCTCTTGGTTTCATTGATCTTTCAGATTGTTTTTTGGGTTTCCATCTCATTAATCTCTGCTCTGAGTTTTCCAGCCTTTGACTCTGAGTCTGTGTTTGCTTTGACTATTGAGATGTGTTTCTTGCAGGCAGCAGAATGTTGGGTTCAATTTTCTAATCCATTCTGCCACTCTGTGTCTTTTAATTGGTGTGTTTAGCCCATTGACATTGAGAGAGATTATTGTTACAGGGTTTTGTCCCATTCTTCTGTTGAAATTTGGTGTATTTGAGGGGCCTGTCTAGCCTTACAGTAGCCCATTTAGTTGTTCTTGTAACCATGGTTTTAAGTCTATGAAGTTCCTGAGCTGTTCCAAACAGGGCATCTTAAATCACTTTCAAAATTAAAACATAAGATTGTAACAAAATTAAAACATAAGATTGAGTGCAGGTTCATGTGCTATGCCATTCACTAGACATCAAAGTTGTGTCTTCATTGGAAACTGCACATTACTCAATACAGATTTATATTATACATTTTCAATATCTGATGACAAGTGATTAAAATAATACAAAACAATACTTTAAGTCTTTTGTTACAGTATTGCCTTGTTTAAATTCTTAGGTCTTCATTACAGCGTGAGCTCACTGTGTACAGTGATATGCCTTATGTCATGAGGCTGGAACTTGAGAGGTGTCCAAAAGCTGTTTTAGCTGAATGACAGATGTCAGACAAGGTTGGTGTCATGTTCTAGACATCATATACCAGGCCGGAATGAAAGTACAGTGGGTATGGTGTTTGCCTAACATGTGGCCAACCCAGTTCAATCCCTGGTATCAATATGGTCCCCCAAACACCACTGGGAGTAATTCCTGAGTGCAGAGCCAGGAGTAACCCCTAAGCATTGCTAGGTGTGACCCAAAAAGAAAAACAAAAAAACAAAAGACATCATATACCAAAAGGCGAGTCTATGTTTTTTCAAGCACTGATATTCTAGATGCCACTAAATTATATAGGATAGAATATATATATATATATATATATATAGATATATAGAGCCTGGCAAGCTACTGAGAGTATCTTGCTTGCATGGCAGAGCCTGGAAGCTACCCCTGGCATATTCAATATGCCAAAAATGGTAACAATGATGGTCCTCATTCCCCTGACCCTGAAAGAGCCCCCAATATGCCATCGGGCTACACTAGCACGTGACAGGGACGAATAGAGACATTACTGGCGCCCGCTTGAGCAAATCGATGAACAACAGGTTGACAGTGATAGCAAAAAAAAAAAGTGAAATTTTATTATTTTTTAATAATGTAGGAGTACTGCTATTTGATCAGTCATTGATTAAGTTGATTGAATTGGGCATTAATTCCACATTACTTTCCCCCCCCCCCTTTTTTAAATTGTATTACCATGAGATAGTTACAAAGCTTTCATGTTTGAGATTTGGCCATATAATGATGGAACATCCATCCCTCCACTAGCGCACATTTTTCCACCACCAATGTCCCCAGTATCCCTTCCCCTGTCCTATCCTAGTCCTCACCCTGCCTCTACGGCAATTTCCCCAATACTTTCTAATTTGGGGCCGGAGTGATAGCATAGCGGGTAAGGCATATGCCTTGCATGCAGCCAACCTGGGTCCGATTCCTCTGACCCTCTTGGAGAGCCCAGCAAGCTACCGAGCGTATTCCACCCACACAGCAAAGCCTGGCAAGATACCCATGAAATATTCGATATGCCAAAAACAGTAACAAGTCTCACAACGGAGACATTACTGGTGCCCACTTGAGCAAATCGATGAACAGCAGGAGGACAGTGCTACAGTGCTGTGTTTTGCTTGAATTTTTCCACCACCATTCAAGCCTACCTGCCAGGGGCAGATGCTAATTTATTTTCCATTGTTCATTTTAAATATCATGAGAGCTTGCACAGCTGCTACTGTAAATGTAAATTACTAGACTGTAAATGATTGGGTTACAGACATCTCTATTTGGCACTAATCCATTTTGGAATTCAATTGGGAGTCTCTGGGCCAGGGCTGTTGGTGCACTAAGATGGCACCCGAAGGCAAATTGTGGGCATGACAGCCAGTCTACTGAAAAGGCAGGGGCCCAGGGAGGGACAGCCCAGGTTCTCTGCCGCCATGCGGCCTGGAGATTTACTCCTGGAATCCACATACCGGGATGAGGTGGGGTCTTGCTTCTGGAAGCTCCCGGTCACTGGCATTTCATCTTAAGTAGGCAGGGAGAGTGCACCTGCTTCATCTGGGGTACCCCAGTGCTACTGGCTCAGTATGGGGCCCGGAGAGATTTCCGGTGCTGTGGTGTCTTCCGGGACTTGATGCTGTGTCTCTGGGCCAGGGCTGTTGGTCGCTAAGATGGCGCCTGGAGGCAAATTGTGGGTGTGACAGTCAGTCTGCTAGGAGAACAAGGACCTGGGTAGGGACAGCCTGGGTTCTCTGCCACCATGTGAACTGGAGATTTAGTTCCAAGACTAAATCTGGGTCTTCCACAAGCATACCTGGGCCTTGCTTGTGGAAGCTCTTGGTCAATGGGAATCCACCTAGAGTAGGTGGGGAGACTGCACCTGCTCCATCAGGGTTGCCCCAGTGAAACTGGCTCAGTATGGGGCCTGGAGAGATCTCTGCTGCTGTGGTGTCTTTAGGGACTTGCTGCTGTGTCTCTGGGCCAGGGCTGTTGGTGCACTAAGATCCACATTGCAAAATTTTCAGCAGATTGTATCTTGGTGAGGTCCATCCTGAGATGGTGGAGTCAGACTTGGGTTATGGCCGTGATTTTGGATTGTGGAAGCAACTGGCTGCCGGGGGCCCTGCTTGGGTGGGCACAGGCCAACCCATCCCCCTCCAAATTACCCAGATCTGTTCAGCCATGCATGGGTCCAAGCTTAACTGCGGCTTTTGATCTCTTTCGAGATTTATTTAGGGGTCTCTGAAGCAAGACCAGTAGTAGATTTTACAGAACAGCAGTGGGGTTGGTTCATGGGGGGTGACTGCCAGTGCTTCCAGGTGTATTGGTAAACGGGAGAAGGTAGCCCCCCGAACTCTGAGAAAGCCTGGTTTTTTCAGTCACAAAACCCTCATACCAGAATTTTCAGTGGATTTTATCTTGGTGAGGCCTGTTCTGAAATGGTGGAGTTAGGCTAAGGGTATGGTGGCGATTTTGGATTGTGCTAGAGCTCTGCTTGGGTGGGCAACTAGGTCAACCTGCCCCCTTCTGATTTACCCCAGTCTGTTCAGCCATGTAGCGCTGGAGTGATAGCACAGCGGTAGGGCGTTTGCCTTACAAGCTGTCAACATGGCCGACCCGAGTTTGATTCCTCTGCCCCTCTCGGAGAGCCCGGAAAGCTACCGAGAGTATCTCGCCCGCACGGCAGAGCCTGGCAAGCTACCTGTGATGTATTCGATACGCCAAACACAGTAACAACAAGTCTCATGATGGAGACGTTACTGGGCCTGCTCGAGCAAATCGAGGAACAACGGGAGGACCGTGACTGTTACCGTGACCATTCAGCCATGCACTGGTCTGAGCTTAATTATGGCTTTTGATCTCTTTTGAGATTTATCTATGGGTTTCCGAAATAAGGCAAATAAACGAGCTTGCACAGCTGAGCCAGGGGTGGTTTTTTGGATGTGGCTCCCACATACCTAGCTTCTGGCTGTTTAATTTTTTGGTAAACTTGCTCCCAAGTTGTTGGGGGTCTGGCCAAAGGCACAGCGGTAATTTTGGGGTATCAGGAAGCCTGAAGACACCATCAGAATGTGATGCACTCCCATTGCAAGTATAGGTTGACCTGTTGGTGGCACCATACTCCTGAAAATGTGAAATTTAAACATAAACCAATTTCAACGCCAAAGAATGTCTAACAGAAAGAGTAGGCATGAAAATGTAATGTACACTTAATAATTTAATCAAAATATTAAAATAATTATATTCCCTCATTTCTGGAACCAAGAAATAATATTCATATCATGATAATTTAACATGCCAAAGTGTTTTCATTATTATATCCATTAGAAAAGATTTTTTTCAAAACAAGTTTATATACACTAAAATGGCATAATGAGAAAAATGATTTTTAAAATACTATTACTTACAATTTATTTTACAGATACATTTATATTCACAGTTTATGTAGTAAAAAAGCTAAACAAAAAATGCTAAACAAAATAGATCTCTAACAGACCCAATATTCATTAATACATTCACAAGTTACGTCTCATCTTTCAAAACAGGAGGAACGATGTAGGAGCTACAACAAAATACATCAGCAGCAAATTAAATAAAACTAAACTAGAAACTGATGTTCTGATTAATATACTAGTATTGGTTCACCAGCTGAGTCTGAAAACTAGAACTAAATTGGAAGAATTGAAAGAGAACCTCACATACATAGACTGTATGTGAATTTTAAACAAAAGTTAAAAACAGTCATCAAATTTATGATTTAAAGTACACAATTTTTAACTAGTCAGTTAAATTATAGGTTATTATACCACCATCTTGAGCTAAGAACTGTTAACATACAGCACTGATATCTAAAGGTGTTATTCTAGAATTTCTTCTGATGGGAAGCACCAGGTTCCTATTGAGATACAATGCCGAGTAAGACAGTCTGTAGATTTTTATTAGGAGATGAGAGAATTCTCAAAACAGACTCAGGCTCAGAAGTAGCCAAGCTGGACGAGAGACGAAGACCAGTGGCTAGCGAGTGCTTCACATGTGTGAGGTCCTGCATGTCATCTTCGCACTACACACACAAGCATTTATCCCTAACAAGAGTCTAAAGAGAACTCATGAAATTACCCCAGGCAATCAAATAGTCCCATCAGTTCACAAGATAATTAACAGCAAATCTTCTAAAACTGAGTTTTGAAATACTCTAAGAGCTTATTGAAAAGTAAACTAAGTTCTGGGGCCAGAGAGATCATAGTGGGTAGGACACTTGCCTTGCATGTGGCCGACCTTGGCTCCCTGCCCCTCCACACACACACACACACACACACACACACACACACACACTGGAAGTAGCTTAGAGTGATCCCTGAGCACAAAGCATGGAATAACCTCAAGCACCTGCCAGGTGTAGTCTGAAATCCTAACAAAGTTATACTTTAACTTAGTTTCAAATAACTGCAGCATTCTTACAGTCCCTTAATAAAACATCAACTATACCAGTAATTTTCCTTCATATTCTAACAAAATATTGACAATTTATAAAAATGTAACTGCATGTCTGCCTTACAATAGTAATGTGATGTTATTTTTAAAGTCTGATTTTTTCAGTTGGTGTAGTGCCAAAAATTTAACTTAAAATTTAAAATTTATGTTTCACAGAGGTGGGTCTTGAGATTCCAGGGGAGGGAGTGAATTAGTTCTTGATATTTTTCACTTCTAGCAGCATACTTGGAAGATGAGATAAAAGGACAGGACCAACATTTCCGGCTAACTCTTACTTTAACTGGAAACTTTCAATATACCTGACACATGTTTGTTCAAATACATGTATGTACATATATATGTATGTGTGTACAGACATGAGTATATATACTTTTTGAAAAGAGTTACAGCCATAGATATGAACCACCTTCTTTTCGCCAACTGGGTTTGGTTTAATGAATAATGTTTTTTCCATAAATCTATCGAAGTCCAGACCAGCTATGCAAATAGGATGTCCATCCAGAGGAACGAGAAGCATTTTCTTCTTCTCCTTTGGAAAATTAAACAAAAAAATTTTTAATTTTTAATCTCATTTGAACTTTGATGTTCAAATCTTTTTCTCAAGCTTTCAGAATTTCTTGTTCATCACTATTAAATAATTTAAAATAAAATCTGAGGCACAAAAGGACATATATATATCCTTTATGTAGGATAATACAACTTAGTTTAGAATCTAAAGCTAATGGATTTATGGTAAATCTCAAAACTAAACCAATAACAACTTTAAAAAATTATTTAAAATAAAGTTTATTAAAATTATGATTTTAGTGAAATTCATCCTTTTGAGGAAAAACACACAGGTATACCACAATCTAACTGAGGTATAGTGCATTTCTATCACTTCAAGTTCTTCTAAGTTAACTTCTCTCCAACTCCTGTGCAGTCAGTGAAACCTTCAATGTCTTCTCTGAAATCATAGTATATAGCTTTTTGAGTTGATTTCTTTCAGTTAGCCCAGTGCATATGCGAATTATCCTTGTTGCTGTGGTTTTCAGTAGTTCAATGCTTTTTATTGCTGACTAAAATTCCAATGTGAAGCTACACCATTTTTTTATTTACCAATCAAGGATATACTCTTTATTTTAAATAAGGTTACATAAATGTCTGTGTACAGGTTTTTTAAAAACACAGAATCAAAAAAATTATTATTTAATTTTATCCTTTTCTACCTTTGGTTACTAGTGATGGGGAGCCAGTGTGTGGCCTCAGTCCAGCAGCGGCAGCGCTACAGGAATGCCCAAAACCATGGGGGCAGAGGTAGAGAGCAAACACTAAGCTCCAAAGCAGGTGGGCTAGAGAGGAGCTTTCCCTAATGCACAGGGTTTTAGTCTAAAACATTTTATTGAGATATAATTAAAGGTGGACGACTCACCCCTTTCAAGATTTAATTCAATGATTTTTTTTAAAATGAGGCTTGTGCAATTTGTATGAACAAATTAATTTTTTTTTGGGAGCTGGACTTTTATAAAGTGAATACATTTATCAATATGTTTAAATTAAGAAAACAAACACAAAAGTTTCCTTGGCCTACCTTGAGCTATTGCAACAAGTTTTCCCTTTTCTTCTGGGCTGAGCTGCAACATTGTATCTATAACAGGAAGAAGCCTCTCTCTTTCACTCCCAGGTTTTAGGAAAATAAACTGCAGTAAGACATTCTTCAAGTATTCCAGATTAGCTACAGACTTCTCACGTTCTTGATTTCTTTCCAATCTTCTTATTTCACTTTTGAGAAGCTGATGTTAGGGAAATGATTAAAAGTGGGTTTTAGGTGTTTCTGGCTATACATGGCAGATTACATAAATTCAATTATGTATTAGAAATGCCCTTAAAAGAGAGAGAGAGAGAGAGAGAGAGAGAGAGAGAGAGAGAGAGAGAAGAAAAGGGAGGGAGGGAGGGAGGGTGGGTGGGAGGGTCGTTGGAGACAGAGAGAAAAAAGTATACGAGAAAGTTCTATATAGTACTAGAAGTGCATAGCAGATTAAATGGGGGTTAAGTTGGTCCTCACAGAAATATGTGGAAGATGCTCCCTTAAGAATACAATGTATCACCAAGTTAATGATGCTTGGAGGGCTTGCTCAGGATGGGAGATGTGTGCTGAAAGTAGACTATGGACAGAACATGATGGCCACTAAGTATCTACTGCAACTAAAGAGTAACATTGGTTTGCCCTTCCTGCCTGGTCGCAGGGAGCTTGGGTTTGTTGATTGCTCCCCTAACTTGTCAAATACCTTGTCTCCTAATCAGACTCCTTGACTTGTAAATACTGTCTTTCTCTCCTCCTCACTGTCTTTTGCATGGTTATTTCAGAGCAACTGCTTTTTGTATGGATGCAGGAAGACAGTTAAAAAGACAAGCTTGTAACTTGGAAATTAATTGACTCCAGATAATACCACCCCCTAGACATCTACTCTCTTGACTTAAGTCTCAGGTGCCCTTACTTCCTAGATCCCCAAAAGCAGGGTCCTGATGAGGGGCTGGATAGACCCAGGTCAAGCGGTGAGCTACCCTGGCACAGAGATGGGCCTGGCCCAAGTGCCAAAATGCTTAACTGTAAGAGCATGGTCTGGACAAATTCTGTAATGATCCAAAAAGTAATAACTACATTCTGACCCTGCTGGTGTTAGGAATGATTAATCCAGCTGGAGCACTGTAGTCTGAGTCTGTGGCAATATGTCCTCAGTAACTGCCCTATAAGCCTAAATGTGTCTATTGCTGTGTCCATACAGAATGGCAAATATTAGAAGTAGACTTAAGATGTTAATTAAGTTACTGGTCTAAGGAGAGGAGAAACACACCCCTTAACTGTTGTTTTGCCCTCCTGGGCTGCAGGTGATAAGTAAGGATTGAAAAACAAGTTGATTGCGATTGGAGGGGGTGTGTTTGGGAGGTGTGGTGAGAGAAGAGGAGAGAAGAGGTAGTTAAAGCAGGAATAGAGAGAGGCAGAGAGAGACAGTTGCAAGAATTACACGGCAGAGGGTTGGGGAGAGTGAGAAGGAGAGTGAGAAGGAGAGTGAGAGCGAGAGAGAGTTGCTGCGGAGAGTTAGAGCTGCGGGAGAGCTGGGGAGAGAGTTCGGGAGAGAGTTCGGGAGAGTCCAGAGATGGAATAAATGGCAACTGATCACCAACCAGCTTGGGCCTTGTTCCTCCTTTGTCCACCTAAGGCAACGTCTGTCCCGAGTGGGGAAGCGGTTCAAGAGCACCGAAATGCGGGTGGCGAGAGCCACCCAGAGAGCCCGCAAACATCCTTTAATGTGTACTCACTCATAGCATCACTTGAGCAAAAGGTGCCGTAACAGGCACAGGCACAGGGAATGTGCCTGCCACATAGGTGGGGGGAAGAGTGAGAGGGAAGGTGGTGGGAGGAATATTGGGAACACTGGTGTTTAGAGAATGGGCACTGGTAGAGGGATGGGTACTCGATCATTGTATGACTGAAACATAATCATGAAAGTTTGTAAATCTGTAACTATCTCACTGTGATTCATTAAAAAAAAATTAAAGTTAAAAATTTAAAAATTAAAAAAAATTGAAAAAAAAAAAAAGAAGTGAAATAAAAGTCACGGTCACGGTCCTCCCGTTGTTCACTGATTTTGCTCGAGCGGGCCCAGTAACGTCTCCATCATGAGACTTTGTTGTTACTGTGTTTGGCATATCGAATACATCACGGGTGGCTTGCCAGGCTCTGCCGTGTGGGCGAGATCCTCTCGGTAGCTTGCCAGGCTCTTCAAGAGGGGCGGAGGAATCGAACTCGTGTCGGCCATGTTGGCCGCTTGTAAAGGCAAATGCCCTACCGCTGTGCTATCGCTCCAACAAAAGTATTTTTCCAAAAAAAAAAAAAAAAAAAAGAAGTATAATGTATCATGGCAATTGGGGCTGGAAAACAAGGACTGAAGCCATCTTAGGGTTCCCTGTTTCTGCTTCCTATAGAAAGTAATGCTCTGGCATCTGGGATAGCTGAGGCTGAGGCAAACATGTGCCTCATCTCCATTGCGAGACTTGTTGCTACTGTGTTTGGCATATCGAATATGTCATGGGTAGCTTGCCAGGCTTGCCATGCAGGCGAGATACTTTTGGTAGCCTGGCTCTCTGAGAGAGGCGGAGGAGTCAAACTCGGGTTGGCCAGGTCGGCTGTGTGCAAGGCAAACACCCTACCTGCTGTGCTATCAATCCAGCAAATCACGGTCCTGGTCCTCCCGTTATTCATCGATTTGCTCGAGCGGGCTCAGTAACGTCTCCATTGTGATAATTGTTACTGTGTTTGGCATATCGAATACGTCACAGGTAGCTTGCCAGGCTTTGCCGTGTGGGCGAGATACTCTCGGTAGCTCACTGGGCTCTCCGAGAGGGGCGGAGGAATCGAACTCGGGTCGGCCATGTTGGCTGCATGCAAGGCAAATGACCTACTGCTGTGCTATCGCTCCAGCCCAATCCAGCAAGTATGGAATAATTAACTTAAGAATGTTTAGTTTCGGGGCTGGAGCAATAGCACAGTGGGTAGGGTGTTTGCCTTGCACACAGCCAACCCAGGTTCAATTCCCAACATCCCATATGGTCCCCTGAGCACTGCCAGGGGTAATTCCTGAGCGCAGAGCCAGGAGTAACCCTTGTGCATTGCTGGGTGTGACCCAAAAAGCAAAAAAAAAAAAAAAAAAAAAAAAAAAAGAATGTTTAGTTTCTAAATATTTTTTTAAAAAACGATTGATATGGGCTGAAGGGTTGCCTTTCTGGCACTGTGCCCAGTACAAGTCCCCCGCAGCAGACATCGTCCCTCAGGCAGCAGCAGGGGCCGTTCCCGAAGAGCCAGGAATAGTCTGAGTACTGCCGAGTGGGGCCTAGCGCCAACCTGCCAATAGTGAGCACCTCTCACCTTCAGAATGGAGTAGCATGAAGAGGGCATTACAGATATGTCTGATACAGAAAACTTGAAAGTTTAAAGTGTGTATTTGTCAAGGGTTAATCAAACTGAGTTGGTGCCAAGTATTTTCTTGAGGGTAGTCTTTTGATTTTACCTTAATCTGCTCCATGAGGATTGCATTGGTAGCTTCCGTTTCCCGAAGCAGGCTGTTTAAGTGATCAGCACTTTTTGTGGTGGAACTAAGCTTTTGAGCCAACTCTTCTTTGGTAAATTCAGCATGCCATAAAGGAGGCTCTGCAAAATATTGTTCCAAATATTCAGTTTCAAAATCATCTATTACTGAACTGCTAAATAAGTATAGATTTTTTTTTGTTTTGTTTTTTGAGTCACACCTGGCAATGCACAGGGTTTACTCCTGACTCTACACTCAGGAGTTACCCCTGGCGGTGCTCAGGGGACCACATGGGATGCTGGGTATCGAACCTGGGTCAGCCGCGTGCAAGGCAAACGCCCTACCTGCTGTGCTATTGCTCCAGTCCCTAAGTATAGATGTTTTACCTACAATATTACACAGATCTGCTCTCTCCCATTCTTCAACATATTAAGAATTGTTACATGCTGAAAGCTAACACAGAGTCTCTGTTGTAAAGGTCACAATAAAACGGAATACATACTCTTAAGTGCTCAATTCCGAAATGTTAGGCTTGTGATACAATTTTACTAGTTTTAAGAATACATGTCATTTTACTTATAAATGAGTTAATATGAATTTTTTTTTGGTGATGCCAGAGACCAAACTTAGGATCTAATTCATGTGATGGATAGCACACTTCCACTGAGCTGCATTTCTAGCTCAATATGTATTAACATGTATTGCTTTACTATCAGCGACTCTGAAGAATTTTGTAAGATAGAATATCAAATCTTGTAGATGAGAGAACAACTTTAAGTCAGCATAATTCCAAGGCCAATCCTGGTCCTGGGACCTACTGCTGCTGCCTCCACCTCACCAGTATTAAAGGCCCAAGGACACATGACTCTAATTTCCACCCATGTCACAATCAACATCTGTGGAGAAATAGTCCTCACTCCAGAAAGATGAAAAGGGTTTCTTTCTGAAGTATAAACATTAATGTTAATTACATTAATAATAATAAAAGCTCCCAAACTGACTTAAGGCAAATATAGCACTACTAATTCACAAAACTGTACATTTCTTAGAAGGGTGAAAAAATAGTTTATTCTGATTTCTAATACTATAGAAGTTTCAACTCTCAGGGAAAGGGGAGAAAAGGAATTTCCAACTCTCCATTTCTGGTTTAAGCTTGGAGCTTTGCCCACAGTTGGAAGCCAGCTTTATGAGCAGGGGGAAAAGGCAGCTGGGACAGAGAAGGGTTCATTAAGTCAGCGATGGAGGGATTGCTCGGGATGGGAGATATGTGCTGAAAGTAGATAAGGACCAAGCACAATGGCCTCTTGGTGTCTGTATTGGAAACCATAATGCCCCAAAGTAGAGAGTATGGGGGAAATTGTCTGCCACAGAGGCAGGGGAAGGGTTGGGATGGGGATGGCAGGAGGGACACCGGGGGACATTGGTGGTGGAGAATGTGCACTGGTGGAGAGATGGGTGTTCGAAACTCAAACATAAAAGCTTTGTAAGGGTAGCTCATGGTGATTAAATTTAAAAAAGAATTAAAATAAATTTCACAGGAACAACAACAAAGAAGCTTGGAGCTTTGTTTCTTTCAGGGGGCATGCGGGAAGAAGGAGACAGTACCTTGAGGCTAACTCTTGGCAGTGCTCAGGGGAGCCCGCAGTCAGGAGACAGAACCAGGGTTGGCTGCATACATGGCAAGTATCAGAGCCCCTCATGCTGGTGTGAGCTCACAGACCCTGACTGGGTAAGGTTAAGGCGTTTGGCACATGCAACTGGCCAATTTAGTGCACGGTGCTTCCTCAGTGAGTGTCAGGCTTCACCTCCCCCCAGGCCCACATCTGGCCTGGTGCTTCCTGCTCTAGGTTTCTGGTTTTGCTCATGCCTGGGCTCAACAGGCGACCCCAACTCAAGACCCTCGCCTTGTCCTGCATGGTATGCCTGGGAATCTCAGCTCTGATGGCCACCTAACAGAAACGAGGGCAGGACTGCAGGCTCTAGGGAACTCTGGAGTGGAGCTTCCCGGGGATGAAGGGAACCATGGGGTCTGCACTTTAAGAAAAAATAAACATACCACACACACAATTAATTTCATCATGCAGGATCATTTTTGATCTGAAAGAAATTAATCTGAAATGAACAAACAATGAAGAAATATTCTATTGCATTTAAACTGTGAGAATATTAATTTGACATGACAGCAGAATTAAATAAAAATGAATGTAAAAGAGAGATATATACCGAGTTTCATTTCTGGAGAGTGAAGCAGCTGCTCCAGTGACTGTGTGTGAGTGCCAGTGGAAGACATAGACTCATTGTCCGTTGTCTCCATTCCTTCCCCCTCTTCCCGGGTAAGGGTGTGCACGTCCAGAAGGGGAAGGTCTGTGTTCCTCCTTTCCCGAAGATTCTTCAAAGGTTGGTGAGAAGAAGCTGGGCCTATTAAAGTTTTTTAAGATGTGAGACTGTCTTAAACTGATGGTTCAGCATTAACAGAATTCATCATAAAAATATAGCAGAAATTAAATTAAAATGAACACATGACATGGAAGGAAATTAAATAACTATAAGATATAAATAAATATAAAAATGATTTTTGAAAAGTTCCTAAAATTTTATTTGAGAGAAGCTGTAAGATAAAATATTAGATAACACAAAGTTCACGGTAATAGAGTTCTCTTGTTGCTGAAAAACTGGTATAACTTCTAAAGCTAAAAAAACACAATAGTGTTTTTTTTTTGAGGATTGTTTTGAGAATTTCTGATTAGGTACTTCTGGTACTATCTATTTCCTCATATAACATAGTTGCTGAAGTGCTCAGAAGGCATTCTTATTGACTGCTATTGTTCACAGGTCTGCTGGCTCCCCATCAGGCCTTCTGACATCTTTAATGATGAGGTAGAATTCAGGACAAGTTACCAGCCAATTATCCAGGTTTGTCAAGTTTCCAGTTTGTTGATAAAAAAAATTTCAAAAAGCTATAAAGTCAGACAGCTAACTATATCACTTTATTAAATCTAAGAAACCTAAATTAAACAGAAATCAGAATGACTTATTTCAGGGTCCCAGGGTTGGGTTAGGGAACAGAACTTTATGCCAGGTAATAAAAATAAAATTTAGGTATACTGATTTAACACTGTGCATCTTAAATACTTAGCATCACACTTCAAAAACTTTATATTCCTAACTGGATCGACCATAAACAATGTCTAATTCCCACCTACTAGCAAGCAACTGACCTCCTCCACCTTCCCTTTGATGACCAATTCTACTGTTTCCAGTCTCAGCTAACCTGAATCATCTTTGAAGTTCAAATTTTATTTTCCATTAAATTGCCTCTCCTTTTCTGTTAAACATTAGCCCTCTGTTTTTACTGACATGGTAATTTATGAGATACCGCATAAGATAATCCAAAGAAATGAGCTAATATAAAAATATATACTATTTTACTTAAAATGTAAAATTACTTAATGCTCTATAGTGGCATTTTATATAAAGTGTGAAGGACATTTCTCATTTGAATCATAAATATAATTTTCATCTAATATTCTTCATCTGAATTATTGAATACAAAAAACATTTGAATTAGTTAACAGCAAGTGCCTTTTCTCCCTGGATTATAACATAATTAACACGAGCGGAGATGCATACAGAGAAGTTTACACATATATTCAGCAGATGTCTCAGGGCAGATTTTCCTGCAAAACCCAGTCGAAAAGGTCTGAGAGAGCATCTAAAGATCAAAGATCTCATATGAAGTAAGTCCCTCTAACCCTTCACTTTGTGTTCAAAAGTTAAGAACAAGATGTTCTATTATTTTAATGTTAATTCCTAGCTTAAAAATTCTTGTACAGCGTTTGCTGGCTACTTCTTGTTGACTCTTGGCATATATTAGGTTTTCATGAAGTTGATTTCTGGCCCTGAGGAGTGGCCCATAACTACAACCTCCCTGGTGACATTTCATAAGGAACACCATTAAGTACAAAGTTACATTTAACATGAAATGGAGCCTTATCTTTGCTGACATGTTTCTATCTCTTGTAGAAGTAGAACAGAAGATAATGGGTGTCACTGAACTAAAACTCCAACTAATTAGAAATTTTTAAGGGAAGAAGTTGTATTGGCCAATCTTCCAAGTTAATTGCTACATTAGTGTTTTTAATCCTCTTGCCGAGAAACTAATCAAGAAGAAATCTATTTGGCAACTTGCAATGGGAGAACAATAATGAATGAAGATCCAGTGAAAACTGGAATTTGGAGATGAAAATGGCTGAGTAAGTCTGAATTAGAGAAAAGGAAATACTCTACATTATATAAAGACTAACTGATACATGAAAAACGGTAATCCCAAGAGGTTATAATCAAGTATAATCAAAAGGGTTCAAACATCTTCTTAGTAAATAAATCCCAAATTCATTAACCACAGAATTTATACTGGTTGTCACCAAGTGAAATTTCTATATTTGCTTTTGGGCTACTCCTGGTGGTGCTTGAAACTTGCTCCTAATTCTGTGGTTGGGATCACTCCAGCTGTGCTTTGTCTCCAGCATGCAAAACATGAGCTCAGCCAGTTGAGCTATCCTTCCAGCTCTTTGAGAGAATTTCTCAAAATACAGCGGGCAGGGCGTTCGCCTTACAAGCGGCCAACATGGCCGACTCGAGTTCGATTCCTCCGCCCCTCTCGGAGAGCCCAGCAAGCTACCGAGAGTATTCGATATGCCAGACACAGTAACAACAAAGTCTCCAATGGAGACGTTACTGGGCCTGCTCGAGCAAATCGATGATCAACGGGAGGGCCTTTACCTTTACCTTCTCTTTTCTTAAAAATTGTGAAGAATGTAATTAAATGAAGGGAAATAAAACACAAAACCACAAGCATTTAACACTTCCATACATACAAACATACTTCTAATACTTGGCTCACTCTTCAACTGGAAAAGCTGAGCTTCCACCTTGGTGAGTTGCTGCTGTAAAGTTTCCATTGTCTTCCTGTGTTCTTCCTGCAATCGTCGTACTTGCTCTCGGAAGTTGCTGCGAAGGACCTCATTTTGGGACGTCAGCTGGCTCACAATCTGTGCATGATCAGACTTCAAAACCATATTCTCTGACTGTATTGAACACAACCTGAAGGGTATGAGAGATTTTCTTCAAATGAACTGGGGTTTTTGGTGGTGGAGAATGGGCACTGTTGAAGGTATGGGAGTTTCACTGTATGACAGAGACTTAAACCCAAAAGCTTTGTAACTGTCTCACGGTGATTTAATAATAAAAATGTAATAAGAAAAAGTAAGGTGGAGTTCGTGCCCAATTCAATTAGCTAATCAGTGGCTGAATAAATAGCAGTACTTCTACTTTTTTTTTAAAAAAAGGAGCTAGAGTAATTATTTTTGTGAAGTCACTTTTACAATTTAATAGAAAAATTATGAATATAATTTTTTTTTGGTTTTTTAAAATACTTTAAAAAGGAAGTATTTAAAGAAAAATATTGGGGCACTGATAACCATGGTCTTTGTATTTCTAGATGAGTTAAAAGACCCTGAAAGATATTTCAAAATGCTATCAATAGTTTTTAGCACTTAGAATACTGGCACACTCTAAGTTTTTCAAATGTATTTCTGAAAAACTGAATTACTTTGAAGGTAAACCTTGCATTATTTAAGCAATATGGTCTGTAATAACTTCTAGAATAAAAAATAAATTAAAAGGCTGTAAGAGAGGCATATATTCATGAGCAGATAATTGTTACTGAAAAAAAAAAAATCCTTGGGGCTGGAGCAATAAACAGCGGGTAGGGCATTTGTCTTGCATGTGGCCAACCAGGGTTCGATTCCCAGCATCCTGTATGGTTCCCTGATCACCGCCAGGGGTGTTTCCTAACTGCAGAGCCAGGAGTAACCTCTGTGCGTAGCTGGGTGTGACCCAAAAGGAAAAAGAAAACAAAACAAACAAAACCTACTAAGAACAAGATCAAAAGGGGAGAGCTTTAGGGTAGAAAAGGTGAATTCATGGGCTGGAGGGATAGCATAGCGGGTAGGGTGTTTGCCTTGCATGCGGCCAACCCGGGGTTGATTCCCAGCATCCCAAATGGTTCCCCAAGCACTGCCAGGTGTAATTCCTGGGTGCAAACTCAGGCGTAACCCCTGAGCATTGCCAAGTAGCACTGCAGTGCTCTTCTCCCGTTGTTCATCGATTTGCTCAAGCGGGCACCAGTAATGTCTCCATTATGAGACTCGTCATTACTGTTTTTGGCATATTGAATACGTCATGGGTAGCTTGCCAGGCTTTGCCATGCTGGCGGGATACTCTTGGTAGCTTGCTGGGCTCTCCCAGAGTGGCGGAGGAATCGAACCCAAGTTGGCTGTGTTCAAGGGAAATGCCCTAACTGCTGTGTTATTGCTCCAGCCCAAGTTTCACCAGGTGTGACCCAAAAAACCAAAAAAAAAAAAAAAAAAAAAAATTCACAAAACCTTCAGAAATATCTCTTCCTTATTTTCAAGGAGCAACACAATATTCTAAAGAAATAGCATATTGTCAGATCTGCTCTTACTTTTCCCGAAGTTCTGCCTCTTTGGACACAGTTTCTTGTAGCATCTTGTTATGTCTTTCAAGCAGAGTATCATGTTCCGACTGTAAAGTTTGAAGTTCAGATAAGCTAACCTGTAAGTTATTTTGGGTGTCTTGTAATTTGATTTTTAGTTGGTCAATCATCATTTCCAAGTGTTCTCTAAAACAGAAATATAATTTGAAAGAGGTTATTTGTGATTCCAAATACACTTTACTTCATCATTCAATCTTTCAATGCTATTCCCTTGCTATTACTATTGATGTATTAAGGAAATAACATAAGAATTCAGAGTCTAAGATTAAATACACAAAAATTATATGCACACTTGATTTTAAGCATTCTACAATTATAAAGACATAACTATGAACTGTAATTATATATAATTTCATATACTGCCTATCATACGTAGTACCGCACTGTAGCACTGTCCTCCTGTTGCTCATCAATTTGCTCAAGTGGGCACCAGCAATGTCTCCACTGTGAGATTTGTTGTTCCTGTTTTTGGCATATCCAATGTGCCACGGGAAGCTTGCCAGGCTATTATATGTATAAATATATTTATAATTATAAAGGTCACAATTTCTAAATTTTATATTCAAATGGTATCAAAGTAACATATTTTATATTACAGAATATGTTATTAGAATTTAAAAAAAGTCTCACAGTTTGATGTTAGCCATTAAAAGGAATGGTACATCAGATCAAGTAATGAGAGGAGTCCATGAAGAAACAAAGCTACAAATGTTAATTTTGTCATAACACATATAATAAACTATTAGTTTCATTTAAAATGCAGTTAGTGTTTAAGAGTAAAAGAAATGTCAGATATATGCTATAATAGTTTAAAATCAAAATTCTGCATAAAATATGAACCCTACATTTATTTAAATCTTTCAATATTTAACTTCATCTAACTTGAAGAAAAAATTTCAGTTACAAAATTTAATATTTAAAGTAAAAGGTAAAGGTAAAGGCCCTCCCGTTGATCGTCGATTTGCTCGAGCGGGCCCAGTAACGTCTCCATTGGAGACTTTGTTGTTACTGTGTCTGGCATATCGAATACTCTCGGTAGCTTGCCGGGCTCTCCGAGAGGGGCGGAGGAATCGAACTCGGGTTGGCCATGTTGGCCGCTTGTAAGGCGAACGCCCTACCCGCTGTAACAGACACAAACATACAAACATTGAGAGGTATTCAAAGATTTACTAAGACTCATATGTATTATTACTGTAAATAGAGACTCCTTGCTCCCCCTCCCACCTTTTAAAAAAAATTTGGGTACTACTCGGCGATGCACAGGGGTTACTCCTAGCTCTGCACTCAGGAATTACTCTTGGCAGTGCTTGGGGGACCATACAGGATGCCGGGGATAGAACTCAGGTTGGTCACATGCAAAGCAAACGCCCTAACTGCTGTGTAATAACTGCTGTGTAATCAGCCCCTCAACAGAGAAGCTCTTAAGAATATGAACATCATACCTTTGCTGTAGATTGTTCTACCTCTTATTCTGTGTTTAATTTTGATAATTTACAAAAGTGACCTGTACACTAGTTTTATGCAGACTTTTTATTTTTTTTGCTCGAGTGGGCCCAGTAACGTCTCCATTGGAGACTTTGCTGTTACTGTGTCTGGCATATCGAATACTCTCGGTAGCTTGCCGGGCTCTCCGAGAGGGGCGGAGGAATCGAACTCGGGTCGGCCATGTTGGCTGCTTGTAAGGCGAATGCCCTACCTGCTGTGCTATCGCTCCAGCCCACAGTAACAACAAAGTCTCCAATGGAGACGTTACTGGGCCCGCTCGAGCAAATCGACGATCAACGGGAGGGCCTTTACCTTTTACCTTTACGTTTATTTTTTGGGGGGGGGGGGGGCACCCTTTGGTGTGCAGGGCTTACTCTTGGCAGTTCTCAGCAAACCTTATACAGTATCAGGGTCAAACTTTTTTTTTTTTTTTGCTTTTTGGGTCACACCCAGTGATGCACAGGGGTTACTCCTGGTTCATGCACTCAGGAATTACTCCTGGCCGTGTTCGAAGGACCATATGGAATGCTGGAAATGGAACCCGGGTCGGCGGCCACATGCAAGGCAAATGCCCTACCCGCTGTGCTATCACTCTAGTTTCCTCAAACTGGGTTTAAGCATGCAAAAACAACTTAAACCATGTATTATCTCTTTGGCCCTATACATTACACAATATACTATTCATTAAAGAAGTTGGGGTTGGCAGCAGTAAGGTCAAGCACCACCGCCCTGCATAGCTACCTCTCCATTCTATACAGTAAACAATACACTCTTTGCTAAGAAACATCAAATAATATGTCACTGAAAGAGTAACTGAGATGGCTATTAAGTTACTTTAAAAATTTTTTGGATGCATCTGAGGTAATATAGAGATGAACATAAAATTAAAAAATTTAGCTCAAAATTAAATAGCATTAATTTAAAACTTTTACAAAACAAGTAAAATGTTTTTAAGCAAATTCTATATTAAAGCTCATCAAGGCTTTATTCTATTCCCAAATTTTCAAATTTGGAAAAAACAATTGGAATGCAGAATGTAACTTGTCTTTTATTTTTAAGAGACATTTAATGTTTTTAATTTCTATTATTATTGTACTAATACAAGATGAAACAATTTAGATGTAAGTCAAAGTCTCCTGCTTACTTCAAACTTTATGAAGTTTCCACAGTAGTGCCCGTGGAGTGATACTTTCTTATTGCTATCTGGAGACACAGTGAAGCTAAAATAAACTGCTCTTAGAGGCCGGAGTGACAGTACAGTGGGGAGGGCATATGCCTTGCACATGATCAACTCTGGTTTGATCCCGGCATCCCATACGGTCCCCCGAGCACCACCAGGAGTAATTCCTGAGTGCAGAGCCAGGAGTAACCTCTGTGGATCTCTGAGTGTGACCCAAAAAGGCCAAAAAAAAAAAAAAAAAAAAAAAAAAAAGAAACTGTTTTTGTTGGTAAATTACATGTACAATCTACAGTCCATGTAATAAAGGTAGAATTTTCAGCATACTTAAACAGAGAATCTGCCCCAAGGGAAAAGTCCTGTAGATTTCTTCTAATACTTTACCTTTCTTGTTTGGCTTCCTCAGTCTCACCCTGAGACACAGATTTAATTTTCTGTTGTTTTAGAACGTTATGAACTCGGACTTTGTAGCTCTCAAACTCAGAGGTTATAGCAACTTGTTCTGCCTATAACATTTAAAAGAGAAGAAATATTTTTTTTTCCTATTGGAACATTATCCTAGAGTTATTTCAGATTATTCACTGAATTAAGATAAAAACCTGTTTCTGAAAATGAAAAAGATAAACAATGCTAAAGAGCACTTTACCAGCCATTCTGTTTCCCTGCTCACCCCTCCCTGGAAGGAGGGGTGCAGGGCTCAGACCTGAAATATAACCCCACCTCAGTGCATGCAGTACACCTGACGCTAGGCTTCTTCTCCAGCATCCTGAAAAAAAGACTGAATGGTATCGTTTTGTCTGACAAGAGATGTTCTCAGCATGCTTCTCCCATTGTAAATTAATTTACCACCACACATTTTTATAATGAAACTATCTATCTTTGGGATTTTAGACAGATTTTTATGAAACTGTGATAAGCACACACAGTCTGCTGCTGTGCGACCCAGCTGCATGTTCAGCTGCCTCATGCTCAACCTGGGGGACAGTCTTCTTCTCCAGGGACGGGTAGACAGGACCATCTGGCTCCACCATACCAAAATGAGAAAAAATAAAAATCGTATGATCAGAGAAAGATGCAGAGAAAGCAATGGACAATATCCAATATCCATTCATGATAAAAATTCTCAATAAATGGGAACTGAAGGAACTTTCCTCAACATAGTCAAAGCCATTCATCATAAGCCCACAGAGAACATTATATGCAATGAAGAAAAATGGAAAGTATTTCCTTTAATATCAGGTACAAGACAAGGTTGCCCACTCTCACCACTTCTATTCAATATAATATTAAAAATACTTGCCATAGCAATAAGGCAACAAACAGGTGTTAAAGGGCATCCAGACAGGGAAAAGAAGAAATCAAGGTCTCACTATTTGTCATCACATAGCATATACTTAGAAAATCTGAAGACTCCACAAAGAAGCTCCTAGAAACAACAGATCCGTATAGTAAAGTGGCAGGCTACAAAATCAACAAGCAAAAATTCATGACTTTTCTATATGCAAATAATGAATTAAAAGGGAAAGAAATTTAAAATAATCCCATTCATAATTGTGCTTCAGAAAATCAAGCACCTAGGAATCAACTTAACAAGAGGTGAAAACCTACACAGAGAAAACTATAAAATATTACTTAAAGAAAACAAGATACAAGAAAATAGGTACACATTGCCTGTTCATAGATTACGATGATTAACATTGTCAAAATGGTAATATTCTGGGGGTGAGAGATAGTACAGTTGGTAGGGCATTTACCTTACATGTGGCTAACCCAGGCGGATCCCTGGCATCCCATATGATCTCCCAGCAGTAATTCCTGAGTGCAGAGTCAGGGTAACCCCTGAGCATTGCTGGGTGTGACCCAAAAGCAAAAAAAAAAAAAAAAAAAAAGAAAGAAAATATCCCTCGAAGCATTATATAGATTCAATGCAGTCCTTATAAAGATACCATGACAGTTTTCAAAGATATAGAACACTACTGAAATTCATATAAATAACACTCCCATGCTCCACCCCTCCCAACAGCTAAAGCAACCCTTGGAAAAAGAGGATGGGAGGCATTCACTTTCCCAAACTTCAAACTGTATCACAAAGTGGTAGTAATTAAAATAGCATGGTATTGGAATAATGACAGATGCTCAGATAAGTGGAATACAGTTGAATATCCTGAGACAGACCTTCACGTATATGATAAGCTAATCTTTGATAAGTCACTGTCTGTCTTCCCATTGTTCATCGATTTGCTCAAGCGGGCCCAGTAACGTCTCCATTGTGAGACTTCTTGTTACTGTGTTTGGCATATTGAATACTCTCGGTAGCTTGCCAGGCTCTCCGAGAGGGGTGGAGGAATCGAACCCTGCTTGGCCGGGCTGGCTGCGTGCAAGGCAAACGCCCTACCGCTGTGCTATCACTCCAAAGATATCACTATCTTTGATAAAGGAACAAGAAATATGAAGTAGAGCAAGAAAAGTCCCTTCAACAAGTAGTGGTGGAAACTGGTCAGCACGTGCAAAAAAAAAAAAAAAAAAAGAATTTAGCACCATATACAAAAGCCAAATCAAAATGAATTAAAATGAAGGTATTTACATATTTTAAAAATACCCAAAATGGATTCAGACTGCAACATCACACTGAGGAACACACAGGCAGCACTCACCATGGTACTGAAGCTAGTTGCCACTGACCAAGCAAACTGAAGCAAAGATAAACAAATGGTATTATATTAAATCAAGAAGCCTTTGCACCTCACAGGAAATGGTGACCAGGATGCAAAGACACCTCACAGACTGGGAGAAATTGTTTGACCAGCACTCATCCAAGATATATAAAGCACTGGGGGAACTCCACAGGAAAAACAAAGACAAATCCAAAGACATCCAACCCCATCAAAATATGGGAGAAGAAACGAATAGGAATTTCCTTAAAGAAGAAATACAAATGGCCAGAAGGCATATGAAAAAAATGCTACAACATTAATCATCAGGGAGATGCAAATCAAAAGAACAATGAGATGTCACAGGAGAGATTGGCAGGCACTAAAAGAGTATCAACCAGCAGGCAAGGATGTGAAGGAAAAAAGACCCCATTCACTACTGCGGGATTGCTGGCTGTTTCAACAGTTTTGGAAAATAATATGAACATTTCTTAAAAGACTAGGAATTAGCTCGTTCTTCAAGTTCTTGTTCTTCCTTTCACACATATTTCACTTGCTTGTCTCTATGGGGTTTTTGCCCATTTTCTCTCTTCAATACTTTTCCCTTTTTCTCTCTTCTCACATCCTTCTAAGGAAGTTTCAATTAAAAACTACCATACTTAGTAAGGGGGAAGAAAAGACTAGGTATGTACTTTCCACATGATCTGGCAATTCCACCCCATGAAATATATCCCAACGGCCCAAATTTACAAAACTCATTTGCACTTCTATGTTTATTGTGGCACTATTCACAACGGCCAAAGTGCTCTAAAACAGATGACTGGATAATGAAATTAGGGAACATATACACAACGGAATATTACCTGTCTGTAAGAAAAGAATAAGTCATGAAATTTGTTGATATGTGGACGGATCTGGAGAGTATCATGCTGAGAACAATTAGTCAGAAGAGGAGACACAGAATGCTCTCTCATCTGTGACATATCGGGGGAATACCGTAGTAGTAGAATAACAAATGTCCCAAGGCAATAGAAACAGGGCATGAGAAATGGTATTCAGTAGGCAGCTTTCCACTGGGGGTGGGGGGTGGTGGGGAAATGGTGAGAACAGCTGAATAGGCGGGGAAAGGAACCCTTCAGATAATGGGGGAGGTGACTGGTCACTCTGTAGATGGACACTATGCTGAAAGGAGGTAAAATGACATACATGACACCCTCTCAGTAATGGTATTGTAAACCAAGGTTCCTACAAGAAAAAAGAAAAAAAAAAGTGACTGCTATAGATGGAGGAAGGCCGGGGGCAGGAGGGAAACTGGGGACACAGGTGGAGGGTAGTGGATACTGCTGAAGGGACTTGTGTTGGAACACTGCCTGAAATCAATCATGAATAACTTTGTAATTCACGGTGATTCATTACATAAAAAATAATAAAATTTAAAAATTAAAAAGATTTACTTATATTTCCTCCTAATATAACCAGAAAAATAATTCAAATACATCAAGTATCTGGAATTGTAATTTTCAAGAAAGGGAAAACTCAAATTCTTGGTCTGCTTTCCTGAAATGATCTGTCAACTTCTAAGGCCATTTTGCCAAGATCACTTTACACAAGAGCAGCATCTCTAGAAAGAAATTATTCTAATTATTCTACAGCAGTATGTATTCTAACTACACATAAGTAGAGTCTTTGAGAGTTTCTCATTATTTTGCATACGCACTCTTAGGATGCTAGGGTCTTTAGAGAGGGCTTTTTAAACGTTTCCATCTGGAGCCCCTTTTTCCCTGAGAAAGGCTGCACAGGCAAGTCCTGCCAGAAACAGCTCAGATTTATGATGCACTTAATTTTGGACTGATTGTTGGTCATTGCACATTCAGAAATCTTAAACTATTGTCACCATATTCAGTTCTGCTATCCCTTATGGGGTCATGAACCACAATTTAAGAAGCTAGACTTTACACCAGAGGGTTGTTTTAAGGGTATTTGTTTTGTTTCTTCTGCATGTTGAAGAAAAGAAAACAGGCCTCCACAGTAATTCCATTAGACATCATCTCACACTCAGCACTCACAAAGAAATGTAACACTCAAATGCTTTAGTTTGTGGTGCTGGGGGACACCTGGGCTCTACAGGAGGTGCCAGGGAGGGACCAGCAGGCAGTGTCAGAGCTGGGCCCGGGCCCTGTGCTCAGCAGGTGTCATCCAGCCCTCGGGTACCTCCCTGGTCCTCTCTTAGAGTTTGCTAAAGTATTTTCTTTCTTACACACAGGAATTACAAAACAAAGTTGAAATATGTACTAATGTTTTTCCTTTTAGCGGGAAAAGTTTTTCAAATGACAGGACTGGGATAGATTTGGGTTAAGAGTCAGATGAGCAGAACCAAGTCATCATCTATTGAATACTCTTAAAGAACAAGAAACACTAAATGTAAGCTTCGAACTACTTTATAACAACACCAGTGGTATGCACCTTCCCAGTGGAGGACATACCTTGGCTGCACGGCACTCTTCCTGAAGACTTGTCACTTTCTGCTGGTATGTACTCAGTGTCCGTTGGTGCTGATCTGCAGAAGTCTTGAGATGCTCGTGAATTTTATGTTTCTCTGATGTTATTTCAGCCAGTTGAATCTGGTGGCAGAATCTTTCAGTTAACTTCTAGTAAATCAAATAATCACTGGCCAAATAGACTTTACTTAAAACATAAACCTAAACAGAATTTCCTTAAATAAAAATCAATTTTAAAAAATCAATCATGAGAAAATTCCATACTGTTGTCTTATAAAATTCAATGATTATCTCAAAATAATACATGAAAGCATAGCAGACATCAAAGTGTAATAATGTAAATATATACAAATAACACAAATATAAAAATTATTTTGTAAGATAACTTCTATGGCTGCACTACCATTTTCAAAACAGATTTATATTTTTGCCCCAATTACTTTGTGTTACACTATGTTAGTATATTGTAGCACTGCAGCACTGTCCTCCCATTGTTCATCGATTTGCTCGAATGGGCACCAGTACTGACTCCATTGTGAGATTTGTTACTGTTTTTGGGATATTGAATACTTCATGGGTAGCTTGCTGGGCTCTCTGAGAGGGGCAGAGGAATCGAACCTGGGTTGGCCACGTGCAAGGCAAACGACCTACCTGCTGTACTATAGCTCCAGCCCGTTAGGGTATTATTAATTTTTTTATACCCAAAAAGAATCTAACTTGAGCTAAATGATAAATGCCAGTTATATACCATAGTTGGCTTTCTCCTTTTATTTCTTCAAAACTATAAAGGATGTTAAAGGGAAAGCATTTGTTTATACACACATAAATATATTAACTGTACTTGTATATGCAAAGTTATTTTTTAAGTCTTAAATGGAATCTTACTTTATAGACTTCTACTTGCTGCTGGCTTGCCTCCAGTTCACTCTTTAGAGATGCTTGAAGTATCAAGTGATCAGTTTCCTAAAGAATAACGGTCTTAAATTTTAGAAGCTGTTAGTATGCACTGTAAGTAATTATTAAAATGTGAAACTGAGAAATGTACATACAGCTTGCTTTGAATCTGCCAGTTCTTTTTTGATTTTCACAAGCAACTGCTTGATTTTTGCATTTTTTTCTTCAGATTGTTGCATGGAAGACTGTAGTGAAGCTAGTTTAAGAAATAATTTAGAAGATAAAAGTGTTTAAGAATGAACTTAAATAAACAAATGAGTGTTTTAATTGTACTAAACTTTTTAAAAGTAATTTTTTTGTTTTTTCTTTTTTGTTACAGAACATTTCAAACATTTTTGAGAGTAGTAACAACAACACAATAAGCCTCACTTTCACTGTATCAGTCTTTAATAACCAACACATACATGGCCAATTTTATTTCACCCAGGAGTTAAGAGTCACAGGTCAAATCTAACTGCTGTGTTTTATAAGTAGTTTTATTATAAAACAGGCGCATCTACTGACAAATTATATATAGCTGTTTTTGTACAAAAGTAAAAGTAAGCGTGACTAATGTGACAGAAAAATTTATGATTCAAAAAAATCTAGTTTCACTGTCTGGTCTTTTATAGAAGAAAATCCCACCCGTTACCTATTCCTTTTGCCCACTGTAGTATGTAATATACAGCTTTTGTGGGGGTCATCCCCAGCAATGCTCAGGGTTCCAGGGGTTGATGCTGGCAGTGCTCAGGGAATCACATGACGCCTGCACAGGTACTGGATCGGGGACCACTGCATGCAAAGCATGTGCTTTGGTTCTCTGGCTTATCTTTCTAACCATATAGTTCTTCATCAGAATTTTTAAAGGAAACCTGGTTGTCTGTGAATAGTCTTAGTATATATCTCTAACATGAAGATACATACTTATCATATCTTTAAAAAGAGGGTTTTTTGTTTTGTTTTAATGTGTATTGGGCGTGTACTCCTAGGAGCATCTTTGTGCCAGAATCTCTCACAGAGATTTTGGGACTCCACCAGTTCACCACGTATGCCCAACTTAAATTTAAATTGGGCTCAACTGCAGTCACAATTTTATTTTTTCGGGGGGAGAGGGCATGGGGGCCTCCAAATAAAGCTCATGGAGTGTTAGAGGCAGCCCGGAGGTCACTTCAAGTGATACTTGGCCAGCAAAGCTGGACAGTTCCATGTTAGGTCCTAGAGATCAGTGGAGGCCACCCCAATGGTGCTAAGGGGCCTCCAGAGTGACGCCCATGGTGCTGGTGAGCCATAAAATACTAGAGATCTAATTTAGGCCCTTGATGATGCAAGATACGCACTCCACCCTTTTGAGCTTCTTCAAGTCACAATTACTAATAATTTGTGTAACGTAATCTGTCTTTTGAACTCCTTAGCACTATTTCTGTTAATTATTTGTCAGTAATAAGTGAGTGGCATTCTTGAGTGAGAACCTCTTCCAATTTTTCCAAGGTATCAAGCCTTCTTTCAGATAGATGATAAAAAAAAATACAATTAATAAAAGCAAAGATACTTTTGTAAGAAAGCACTGTAAGAATATAACCTAGATCTTTGCTATTTAATTTGTATCAGGAATTTAGGTGGAAATATAGTGAATGTTTGATATTAGTTGCATAGATTTGCAATGGAGAAAGATTCCCTTCTGTTTTTAGCTCACTAAGAGAACAGTGCAGTCTCCTGTCCCCGCGCCTGGCTGTTCCTCGCCGTGGCCCCTTGGAGGGAGCGGGTTGAGCTTTCCTCCCCGCCCCGACCAGGTCTCCGGCAGCCGACGACCTCCAGGACCAACACCACCATGCTGAGACCACTCTCCGCACACCTGAAGGTACCAGCAGAGGGACAAAGCCACATGGGTTCCGGGGCCGAGATCTCCAAGCCTACTCGGATTGGAGTCGAGCATCCTCCACCCAGCTCCTCCAAATTCCAGTAGGCGGGGGTCACACCCACCAACTGGCCCCCTGGCGCCGTGTAACCCCATCAGCGGCCAATACTCAGAGACTATAAAAACCAGATCCCGGAGGGAGAACAGTGCAGTCTCCTGCCCCCGCGCCTGGCTGTTCCTCGCCGTGGCCCCTTGGAGGGAGCGGGTTGAGCTTTCCTCCCCGCCCCGACCAGGTCTCTGGCAGCCGACGACCTCCAGGACCAGACACCACCATGCTGAGACCACTCTCCGCATACTTGAAGGTACCGGCAGAGGGACAAAGCCACGTGGGTTCCGGGGCCGAGATCTCCAAGCCTACCCGGATTGGAGTCGAGCATCCTCCACCCAGATCCTCCAAATTCCAGTAGGCGGGGGTCACACCCACCAACTGGTCCCCTGGCGCCGTGTAATCCCATCAGCGGCCAAGACTCAGAGACTATAAAAACCAGATCCCGGAACCGTGTGGCCGCAAATGCGCATTTGCGGCCGCGCAACATTTTATTATGACATCTCATTCCTACTTTGACAAACTGGCAGGCTCCCGAATGTAACCTGCCCACACGGCAGAGTCTGGCAAACTCCCTGTGTCGTACCCAATATGCCAAATACCAGTAACAATGATGGGTCTCATTCTCCTAAAGAGGCTTGAATATAATCTCAGGGCTAGGATGAAGGAGACGTTACTGGGGCCTGCTCGAGGCAATCGACGAATAACAGGATGATCTGTGATCTGTGATAGTGAATGTATGGTGAATAGTAAAGGCATAATAAATTGTCTGGGAACTACAAAATACAACTGATTATTAAAGATTTATTGCTTTTGGTGGGCCAGGGCGATTGTATAGTGGGTAGGGCACTTGCCTAGCATGCAGCTAACCCAAGTTCAATCCCCTGCAACCCATCTGGTCCTTGAGCACTTCCAGGAGGAATTCCTGAGTGTGGAGTTAGGAGCAAGCCCTGAGCATTGCCAAAAAATAAGTATGGTCCAAAAAATAAACAAAAAGAAATTAAAAAAAATAATAATTTATTGCTTTGTACATTAACAGGGTAAACTTTATTAAGCTGTGATATGGTAAAAGCCTGATAATAAGTATGCATTATGAAACAGTCATGGCAGATTTGCTATTTTATATTCCGGATATTCTACTAAGACTATCAGTCCAAATTATTAATGATCCCTGTTAAAATTATATAAATACATTTAAAAACTGGAGATTGATCTTGAAAATTCCTTGAGTAAACAATTCATCACATCAACAAAATTTAATTACTTTGAGTCTTCAAAACAAATTAACTTGGACCACTTCTTATAAATACCTCTGATAAAAATAAAATAAACTTAAATCTTCTTTTAAATGATCTAAGATCACTGTCACTGTCCTCCCGTTGTTCATTGATTTGCTCAAGCAAGCCCAGTAACGTCTCCATTTGAGACTTGTTACTGTGTTTTGATTTTGATTTCTGACATAACCAAGGCAGTCTTTTTTGTCTTTTTTTTTTTTTTGAGACACAGCCGTGGTGCTCAATGCTCAAGGGCTGTTACTAGTTGTGTGTTGGGGGGTATGTTCTGCGATGGGGAACCAGATGTGCTGCCAGAGATTCTAAGCACCATTGCCACCACTAGTAAGGTAAGCGTCTTCCTTCCTGTACTATCTCTTCTAAGTTTAAAGCAAACTCTGTCAAATGACATGATCTAACTGACATTACATAAAACACTACCCATCAACTAATATAAAATTAACACTTTTCTCATCTGCATAAGAATATTTACCAAAAGAATCATTTTATGAGCCATAAAACAAATATAAATGTAAAAGGACTTAATTCGTACAGAGTATGCTCTTTAAATATAAAGGAAGTAAGTTAGAAACTAAATGAAAGAAATCTAAAATTTCCTTTACTTAGAAATGAAACACCGCAACTCAAAATAACCTGTGGATTCTGAATACAAATACAAAGAACATAAAAAAAATACAAAGGAAATTAAAAAAATTAGAGTTAAAATTTTTAAAAATTCAAATTATTGTTTTTAAAAATTAAAAATACAGCTAAAATATGATTTAAAATATTTTTATATCTTCTTCAAGGAAGCTCTATCCCCATTTTTGATGGAGTTAATAAAAATCAGCTTAAAATAGACAAGTAGCTGGCACTATTGGCAGGCCCCAAATACTTTGCAAGCAACACAGTGGGACCTGGAGAGACCCCTAAAGCTGAAAGTGACCCAGCCAGACCCTAACTAAAGGTCTTGGCTCCTCCCCCAGGTCCACATGTTGGACTTTCGAACTTTCACCGGGGCAGTCTGCCTACCTCAAGCATACTGAGGCCAATAGTGTATTAGCCTTTATTCCAATCAACATTGCCTCGAAAACCCCCCAAAGTAGTGGTGGGAGCAAGAAACAGCAGAGCCCTAATCACAGAGTAGCAGTAAGGTCAGGCCAAAGAATGCATTCCTTGAGTCGCCGGAATCACAAGAGACACCACACCATTACACAGGAACACCAAATTGGAAGGGACTGTCTTTGACAGGGAAAGAAGAGACCACCACCCATCAAATTACCCTGGAATTTCTCCCTGGTAGATAATGTACTGGAAAGAATCACCCCCAGATTACCAAATGCATTGTGGGGAATCAGTACAGAACCCCACCATGGAAGTGAAGATAACAGCCCTTAAGTCTCAACCAGGAACGTCCGCCTATGTAATCTCTCTGAAAAAGAACTCATCAAGGAAAACTGAGGAATTTCAATAAGCTTAAAGAAACAATGGAACAGACAGCCAACAAAATGCAGGAAGATACAAGAGCAGAAATGAGAAAGCTATAAACAGAAATATGAGAATTGAAAATTTTGGGAGGTGAGATGAAAAACTTAATGGAAGGTCACAATAGTAGAGTAACAGCAGCTAAAGACAAAATCAGTGAGCTCCAAGATTAAATGCAGAAAACCTCCAGGCAATAGGAGAAGACTGAAAAAAGAACACCTCAAAATAAATAAATAGAGAAGAGGACTGATAGCACAGCGGGTAGGGCATCTGCCTTGCATGTGGCCCATGTGGCTGACCAGAGTTCGATTCCTCCGCCCCTCTGGGAGAGCCCGGCAACCTATGGAGAGTATCTCGCCCTCACGGCAAAGCCTGGCAAGCTACCCGTGACATATTCAATATGCCAAACACAGTAACAACAAGTCTCACGGTGGAGATGTTACTGGGCCTGTTTGAGCAAATCGATGAACAACAGGACAGTGCTACAGAATAAAGGAGAA